ATTGAAGTGTGAAGACAGACTATACCCACGAGACAACAGCTCAAAACTACAAACTTGCACAAGAATATAAAGTTAAGTAGTCAGCACATAAGCTTTGATATAGTGTACCTTTTCCAGTCCAAATTGATCAAGAGCAAGTTACATTCATCAAATACAATAGCAATATTACAAAGTGCAAATCGAATTACGCATGTCTGTTAAAAGAGGTACTCTGTGAGAATTTATAAAGTGTGAGAATGAGTGTAGAGACATATCAGGTAAGCACAACGGCTTAGGTCCCCACGGGCATGTCCTTCAGGTCACTTACCTTTGCGTGGAAACGAAGCGTGTGCCGATAAAACTTGCGACAGCTAGCTGCGGTAGTCACCTCCGGGAGGTATTGATTGATAGGACGACGTCGTGCTCGTGCTCAAGAGCGTCTGCAAGCTGACGCAGGGTGAGGTCGGGGTCATCACCTAGCTTCTTAAGCCAAAACGATAGACAAGCATCTGTCACCTTGCCTTCCCGCTTGCCGCCTCGCGGATGAGCAAATACCTCCTCTCCACCCGTAACATGCTTGGCTACTTACGCTCGTGCGGTGTTGTAGCTAACACCAAGCTCCTTAGCGGTCTCCTCCCACACACCTCGACCTCCAGGACTCGAAGCTTGGTCTCCAGCGCGTAGCGTGCTTAGCGTGCTTAGCGTCTTGGCATCGCTGGATGTTTAGCTGCGTGCCGGAAGTTGCAAAATGGAAAGTGAAAGCCTCAAAAGCGCGCAGTGCTGGCGTTTAGACGCGAACGCGATCTTTTATACATACTAGAGAAGGCAAGATTAACGCGAAAGGAGCGCTTCCTTGACGCGCTTAGACGTTAAAGATCGCTGGTTAGTATCTGTTACAGCATGATTCGAGCTCACTACACCTGATTTATCATTTACAAAGGGTTATTGATGAACTCGCAGTTGCGTTTCATAATTTTGCTTTTGTAATTGATGAATGTAACTTGCTCCTGATCAATTTGGACTGGAAAAGGTGTAGTGTTGAAAGAAACAGTCCTTAGGCACTGCCTAAATTTAATTTAAAAAACCCTGCTTGAAACATGCAAATCAAAAAAGAAAAGTAGCTGATTTTTTCTATTATTATCAGGGTGAGTCGAAAGGCAAGCAAATATGTACATTTACTTAAGCCTCTGTCGTACAAGCGTCTCGACAGAATTCGATTGACATGCACATGCAACTGCTAAGAAAGGCCAATAACACTATCTTGAATGAACAACCTCTCAGTCGATTGACTTAGTAGTACATTTACTTTTCAATGAAGAACAACGCTTCAATAAAACCTGGAAACAGCCAGAGGAGCGACAAGGGAATAAATGTGCCCCAGGGATGAGGTGTGAACTTTAATAGTGATCAAGGTGTGCTCCTACTAAGGAGATTGCATTGATGTTGACCATCTAAGCAAAGTGGACATCGCTTTCTCTGCTGCTTTACAAAAGGAATACCCCAACGAGAAAATTCATACGCTAAAACAAGGCAGCAAATAGATGTTGTAAATCATGACATGTAGTTGCATTGATCGGTTAAATTGGTCTTTACAAACTGGGAGGCTCAAATGACTACACCTTTGCAAATCCTAACTGCCGTAGTGTAAACCAAAACGGAGTTCAACAAAATATTTTTTTTAAATAGAAACACCTAAAATTAGCCGAACCAATACGAATTTAATGTAAAGGAAACAACGTCTGTGGATGAATATAGCTTGTCAGATGGTCGGAAACACGCCTCGATAAGCGTATCTTGTCCTCTACATACTGCACACGCAATACTGTATATTACATTGGTGTATTGGTTATCGCCACGAGCGCCCCGCTGCGGATGCCGTTAGAAGACGGAGGTTACAAAACCTCCGTCGGATAGTGGAGGTAGCTTAACGTTCTTGACGCCAACCAGACCTTCGTTCACGTGCCTGGCGGCCTACTCTGGCACTCTTCTTGTCGTCCCCGCTTCTGGAACGCCGATCGTCCAGGCAAGCAGCCCCAACCTGAGCGCTTGATGCCACGCCAATCGCTGAGCTCCGTTTTTGAGACGCAAGCTCACAGCTGCATCCTACCCCCTCTTCTTCCTTTCACCACTGCTGGCTAACGTCTGGAACCACAAGCGCATCCCAAAGCTCGCATTCTTGCTGTACTATGTCTAATCTGGTTGCTGGCCGTCTTGGTCCCTCTATCGATGATTATGCAGGCTGTATAGGTCACTCTGCACACCCGCACCCTCGTGTTCTGGCGCCCATACGCAGCTTTCATGCCCCCTTTTATTTTTGTGTGTACTCCAGTCCGCATCACGCCCGCTATCCGAATGGCTGGATGTGTCCTCGCGTTCTTGCCAGGTGAACGAAGTTTGCACTACTGTGACGTGCTCACGATTTGGGAGCTGGAACTCCCGTTTAGCCATTTATTGATTGTAGTTGCTTGGTTACATTTAATGCAAATCGAAGCGTGAGCTATCTAATATAGTTTTGGTCGCACCCGCCTGCCATGATGACACCCCAGGGGATGCCATCCTTGTAGCCCGCTGGTTGCAGTAGAGGTACAGCCGGCTGTACTTGACCATCCTGTCCTGCATCCTGAGGCAGCAACTGCGAGAGACACCTGGCGATCGGCTTAGCATAAGCCTAGATGTGATCTCCCCAATTAAGTTGGCTGCGGGTTGGAGGAGCTGGCGCTAGTGAGCTTGCATTATATCACAACCACACTTAATCTGCATTGCTTTTAAAACTAATTTTGTAAATTTATTCCTGAAATTTAGATGTTAATTCGGTTACTTCACTTCGTTTTGGTTTACACTACTATAATTGGCAAAGGTGTAGATACAACACGATCAGCTACTTTAACGACGTGTATATAAAAACACACTTGAAATTGTCTCTTCAAATATCATTTCAAAGGCGATGAAATCGATAAAAGACAAGACATAACGGTGAACAGGTTTTATCCTACCGCTCTAAGAAATTCCTGAGTAACCACATGTTGCATGTACCACAAAGTAAAAAGTAAACGAAAAGCATTTATAAGTGTAGAATTACACTTGTTTCACGCAGCATAACTCGGACGTACACGGGATTACACCACTCACTGTATCACCCGGTCACTATTGAATTGTATTAAATAAAGGATCGCATCCGTTTACTTGCTTTTGCTGGAAAAATACAGAGCTGTTCCGCGCCTTGTCGCAGTTTTGTATAATACCTCAGATTCGACCTAAAAACAGCTATTATAATCCATTGGAATTAATTTTTTATTGGGCATAGGGTCAACCATTATGGGATATTTTTGCAAAAAAGCGGTTGATCAACTCAAAAGGCACAAACATAAGTAATTAGGTGTCCCACTATGAATTTGGGCGACAGGATCGACGCCTTAAAACGCTTCGATTTCGTCTTATAACGTTCAAACCAATTGGGGAAAATAAAAAGGCTTGTAATTAATAATTATATTTTAGAATTCCCATGTATTGTTTCAATAATTTATTTTTGAGTAGCCCTGGATTACATACCTAAACGTTCATGTTTAAGCAATCACGCTAGTGAGGCTTTAGATTTAAGGAAAACATTGACATCACTATAGGTGAGATACGGCTCGTATCATCACGTTTTACGTGATACGTTTACTTGTTGCGACTCAGCAAAAGTTGTCGATACAGCAGGCACGGTACTTACCTGTCTATCAACAATAGTGCATACATTTTACACTGTTGACTAATATTGGCATGTCAATCTTGTTTGCATTTTAATAAAGAACACTGAATTAAAAGGGCTGTAACCAGTGTTAACAGGACCAACGGGATTGTCGATAGGCCGGTAAGTTATCGTTCCTGCAGTACCACCACCTTGGCACTGATTTGGAGTTTCAAATGCGAAAGGACACGAGCCGCGACTTTTCAGCAAGAACCATCGACAGGTTATCTACTATTGTTTTTTCAAACTGTGAGCCCAAGGGTTGAAGTTTCACATTTTGGCTCAGTAGAAACTGTGACAAGTGAGTCTAAGATATCGGTAATACTGGTTCATACCGAATCCGTCGGATACCGAGCACTGAATTAAAGGCGGCTATTGGTTCCTAACGGGTAAGTTCATTCAAGGCGTGATGATATGTAGGTACAAGTATTTGGTAGCAATTAACAAATCCATTTATCTAAATCAAACGAGCGTAATCTTATTTTATATTATGATGTTTTCATCTAAAAAAACAGACAGCTTTCTCGGTTGTTACACGGCATTGTTTCTATGGCGATTCTAGCTGTGGAGCACTCGGCGTCAAGGTTAAATCGGCCACCAGCGTTGGTGGCCGTAACTCGGTCAACGTTTAACGTTAAATATTGCTTTTTTCATATGTTCGAGTTTTGATTGGTAGAATTACGGGCTCTGTTAGCTTGCTATCCAACGAGGTGGCTTTTGGTACCAGTACTACTGTAAGAAGTATTACACTCGTAAAAATACCCGCTAGGGGAAAGGTCACTCAGGAGTGGGTGACGGACGCAGGCCACAACTTTGGAGCTGAATATCCCGAGCTCGGAAGACCCGAGGATGATCAGGATGGGGACGGGGGCACAGGGCCCAGCCCCCCCCCCCTCCACGGGAACCACCGCAGGATCAAGGCCAAGGAAAGGGACAGGAACGCGTCGAGGAGAGAACAACTGTACACGGAAGGAGCTTCCATTCAAGTAGCGGAGAACACGGCAAGGAGAACCCGCCCAAGAGTCGCCAACAGGAACCCCAAGCCCCAACGGACGGGACGAGGCGGGAGGATCACGATCAGGGTGAACGGTTGAAAATGCAAGGGGAGACGTGGGGAGATAAAGTTCGCGCGAACTTAACCCACCAACAGCCAATTACGGATGAAGCAGCAAGAAAATCGCATATGCTGAAAGGGATATGGAATCCGGTACAGCAGAAACAGCTAATAGCGACAATAACGACCGATTGGTCGGTAGTAGCAACTGAAGTATGGACAGAAGAAGAGGAGGTAATGCGGAAGGAAGCTCTTACACCAGCGTCGGCCAGCTGTGATGAAAGCCTTCGAACGTGGACAGCCAGAGAGCAGGAAATCCTTATGATGTACTTGGCGGGTAATCTTGACCTCCCATACCCACCGAACTTTGTCAAAGATATCATGACTGGAGAATATCGTGCGATGCTGGAGGATATGCATGAAGCCTATTTTAACGCTTACCTTACTGCCGCACTGCCTGCTTCGGTTCGAATCAATAAACATGCACCACACGCGGTTCTTTTCAAAGAACTTTTCATGGCAAACACTGACAGGAGATCGGGACACATGATGATGAACGTACTCCAGCGTGACGCTAAACGTCTTTCTTTCGATGGAGTCAAGACGTTAAGATTCACCTTCTACTCAAAAAAAGCAGCAACAAGATGGAAAGATAAAACGATGAGGTTTCAGAAGGCTGTTATCACGATCCGGGACACGGAGCGATCACCCGAAGACGAAGGAACTGGTCACTACAACCCAGCGCAATTAGAACTTCAATATGCAATTCGAGTCTACGGGGGAGCGGAGCTAGGGCTCGTGACACTTGCAAGAGCTTTTACAAGCTTCTCGGAGGCAAAAGTTTTGGATGTTGAGTACGCAAGAGCAACGCAGACCGACATTTACGACGACCGATATCATACCATCCGATTCGCACAACGACAATGCCCTGAGGCGCTCAAGGGAGTGTCTAAGATCGAACTAAATGGAGTGGATATTACTATTCATCACTTTCAATAGTTCACCCGTAGACCGTGTGCAAAATGTTTGAATCCAAGACATGGAAAGGCAAAATGTTTTGTCAAACCTGAGAATCTGGACTACGTTAGAGCTCGAGCAACTCGCTTACTAAAGGAACCTGTGATCCAGCACAAACTAGCCCCACGCAGAGCTTTACATGTACAATCCATTGAAGAATTAATAGCAATGTTCCAAACGGGACAACCACCACCGATGCCAAGCGCACCGCTCCTGCAAACCACGACTCATGAATCGACGACAACGCCGAAGGAAGAGCACAAAGATTCGGAGACGGCAACAGGGGAACCCTGCCGGGTGGAGGGCACCGACACCACGCACCCTTTTGCTGCAGCCACGGAGGGCTTCGACTATAAAAAAGCAAAAACAAAAAAGAAAGGCGATGGTCGCAAACAAACTGCACCAATACGTACCGACGACGCACGGACGCATCAAGAGGGACAGAAGGATCTCAGAACCAACAACCCACCACAAAAGGAAAAAATGAAAGGAAGAAAAAGGCACCAATTCCTACGGCGGAGAAGCGATATGCAGAATTCCAACGTACGGCGGCCTTAGGACGTTATGGAGCCTTGGCACAGTCGGATAGTGAAGAGGACGGAGCCACAGACGCTATGGAGGTTGACGAAATGGATCCAACCGGTCCGCCCACCGAAAGTAGTTACGAGAGGGAGGAGGCTCCGTATGCATATGAGGAGTCAATGGTAGAGCATATTCACCAACGTCACGAGGAAGGTGAAGACCCACAAGTTGATTCCATGACGAACCAACAGCGGAATCACCACGCCACAACGGATGCCATTATGACACCGGCGTGTATGGATGGGGAGGATAGTAAATGTGGGGAGTCACAGGAAGGTCACAAAGCCTTCCCAGTTATAGCGACGCATCAAGCGATCCAGCATGGACAACAGCCGATAGCTGCATCCGCCAAGTCGACGCGGAAAAATAAAATGCATTCCGGGAAAATCGGTCTCCAAAACGGAGCGATCAAGAGTATGCAGGTTAGCATGGCCACCTTCATGCAGACAGCGGCCAAGCTAGCAGCCCACGACACTACGGTGGATTCGGTGGATTCACCAGCCCAACTCGTGACGACCACCGATCCCACACAGAATGAAGCATCGGAGGAGGATTATGTGTCGGAAACTCCTGACTCACAGCAATCAGTGGAAATAGGTGAAAGTCGTCTAGGAACTGCGGAAGGTGATACAGATCTCCCCAAACAGATTGGGTTATGGCTAGCGAGTTTTGATAGAAAGGAAATCACAGTGGCTATGGCCAATGTGCTTTTCTGGCGCTGTATGCTTCCACGACCAACCACACACAAAGTCCAATAAAGTGTACACGCGCAACAGTGAGAGGAGCGACGGCATTAAAAAAAAGCGGTGTACACATTGATGATGTGCAAATTTCGGAGGGATGTGGCGCTACATTTAGTGGATCCGGTCCACGAGTATCAAAGACTGTATCCGGATCACCTTGGCTTTGAGTCACCCGCAGCCGCAACGGCGGCGCTCTTTTCCCACTATGATGTCACCCGCCACAAACAGATCGATAAGAGGGTGGCACCCACCTTCTGGGCTGGACCACATGAACTCAGGGCGATGGCCCAATACTTGAGGGAACCGATTGTTGTATTCGACGTTAACGCCCACAACGACGCACATATGCAGTGCTACCTATACAAGCAGTATAGACTACCAGATGGGACAGACCATGAGAGTGGATACGGAAAGAGCTTCACAGACAGAGAGGCAACTGAATATCTTAAGAACTGTTGGGACCTACACATAATTTCAACATGCATGGTGCTCCGGCACCATGAGCGCCACTTTTATGGAGTTAGCCATGGGGAGCTATATCTTCAATGGCGTGCTGAAGGTGACGCAGAGCTCGCAGAGACAATCTCCGACTCGTACACTTGGAAATCCACAATTAACCAGCTCACGGAGTCGGAACGGAAAACCGACCTGCAAACTGTTAACCAACTGGTAAATATGGACTCTGTTAACTGGTTATTGTGCAAACGTATGGAGATGAGAGAACGACTGGATGTAGCACACGCCCGGCTTGGATTACCAGTGCTGGAGTCATCTTCACCAGACTTCGATGCAGAAGCAGCGGTCACATGCGAAAATCAACAAATACATGAAGAATACGGACTAGATCATCTGGCTGCGTCATCTCCGACACCAGGAGATTCATCTAGCAAGGACGACGAAGTCCCTACTCGCATTGCCCGAGTCGCAACTGGGACCGTCGTGACCAACTCGTACTTTCGCATCTTAAGGGACTCACCGGACTCTCCAATGGACCACGTGGATAAACCGTTAGCAGTGACAATAGAGGCCGCAAACTGTGAGACATTCCGCACATGGTGTGAGTTGTTTAGGGCCAAGCTGAAAATTCCAACCACAAAACGCAGACGTGGAACAGCAGCAGATATCATGGAATGGCTATTCAAGACCCCGGAGGCACTCCGGCACCTGTACGCCTTCCTCCCATACCCCGAACAAGAAGCTAAAACCTGACGAATGGAGCCTCTAATTGTGTGGGGTTTGCCGGAGGCTCAAAGAGAACTAGTGAACGCCCTTCGGCGTCTAGTTGATGACCCAACAATTGCTGAGGCCGGTAGAAAGTACTGCAAGGAATGGATCCAGGAGTGCACAGCTAAGACCTCTGACACCCACACAATTAAACAGATAGTGGGATCATCTAAGAGGTGGGCACGTCTCGCGCAATGGGTGCCAAAATCCTGCTACCGTCAGCAACCAGCTTTCTTTACCGACTCGGAATGGGGAATCTTACATGCAATCCCTTTCATTGTCAGCAATTGGACAGAAACCCCGATGGGTATAGCCCCACACGGGGCTCGGGCGGTTTGGTACGATCAATTCCCCTTCATCAGAGGATTGTGCCACCAAGTAGTGAATCACAGCGATTGGAGCTCGGCAATCTATGCCCCAGCTGAACACGTCTGGGAGGAATCAAGGGACAATTCAGTCACCGACTCCTCCGGGACGGAGGCCAAATAAAGGCACCAAGGTGCCCCAAGGGTCGAGTATCGTAATGCAGACGTACTCGACAACGGTGTTCGACGAAGAACACAACATGCCACCGGGGGAGGTGCGAAGGAACCGACAGAGAGGAGACCTAGCGAACATATCGGCACCAGCATCCACCAGACAGGAGCAGGAGCGAACAGCGGAGATCGTGGAACAACAGGTCCACTGGGAATCGCACAGTACTTCGACCCGCTGTCTACAATAGAAAATCAAAAATACATTCAAGAGCGATTTGAGAAGGAGAAGCGTCGTCAAGCGCAGCGACGAAAAGCAGCAGACAGAGACACGGACAAGGCCCACCAGGGCTCTACAGATGATCTCCACCCTCAAGACCAAACTTACGGCTTCATCACTCTAAACGTCAACGGTCTGGGGGCGACTGAAAAGGATAGAGATATGTGGTTTCGAGCTTTTGGAGAACAGGATGCACATGGCAGAGCGGATGTGTTACTGATTCAGGAGACTCATGTAGAAGCTAGCGAAGTTGGATACCATGAGCGCCTGTATGCGAAGCGGTGGGGTTTTAAGACCGGTGTACAGCAACCCATCCATTCCTGCTGGTCACCATCACCAGATCGGAAAGGTGGAGTCGCCATCTTGGCTCACCCGTACGGAGCTTTCACAGACATGACACCATTCATAAAGGATCGCTGGTCTCCCAATTTTATGGCAGTCAAAGGCAAACTAGCCGGAGCGCTTACAATTGTGTGCTACATATATGCACCCCACCGCTACACTCCCAGAGAGCGGTTCTTCCAGAGCTTACAATCGCTGATATTCCCAAAAGTAGCCCTGATCTTTGTAGGAGGGGACTTAAGTGCACCTTAGATGATCTGCCGGACCGCAGTTATGTAGTCCAACAAACGTATCATGACTCACCTACGCTACGTCATTTACTCGAAGGCTGGGGACTGCTAGATCCGGTGGCAGTCGCTCGGCCGTCTCGGTGGTCGACAGAAGACCTTATAAAGCACCACCAAGAAACACACACATACCACTACACGATCCCGGGCGGTGGAGCCGTATCGTCCCGCCTAGATCGGTGGTACACGTCCGCAGCAGCTTTCTCTTGGGTGGCATCATGGAATATAGTGCAGTTAGGAGCGAGAGCTGATCACTACGGGGCAAAGCTTCACGTACATGCACCAGGGGATCCTATTCGGATAAAAAAGCCGTCCAGAATCCACCCGGTACCCTCCTTCGCGAAGGAAGCAGTACAACAACTGACTCACACATTAATTGAAGAGCTTAAACAGGTGCGAGACACTCCAACCCTCACAGCCGAAGCGGCAGCCGAACACTGGGAAACCTTTAAAGTTGAAATTGCTCACAAAACTCATCCGGCAACGCAGAAAAGCCCGAAGAAACACCCTCAAACAGAAGCTAGTTCGCCTAATCAGACAGCAAAACCGACTGCGATAAGCACTACGTAGAATCCCAGCGTCGGTGGAATCAATCACGGAGGAGCTGGATAACTTCAATTTGGGCACAGTAGACGGACCGACAAGGGAGATACGGCTAAGGAGAGCCATTGCAGAATGTAAGGAGATGAGGGCAGATAATCGACAACGTCAACTCATTCGGAACAGCACGCACTGGAACGGAAAGACATCTAAATCTTTCTTTCAGCGGGTGTCAAACAAGTTCTCCGACAATACAATCCGACATTTGGACCCAATTCCAGGAGCCCCGCCACGAAGCGTCCATGACAAAGCGGACATACTAGCAGACGCCTGGACACCAATCTTACAGCAACCCAGCTCAGACCACACCTCAGTAGCGGACGTCAAAGCATGGGCCAAGACAAGAGAGCGACCAACAAAAACGCAGATGGCAGTGGGGGGTGAGATCACCGAAGCAGACCTTCGTGACGCTTTCCGGCGCTGTCAGCCAGGCAAGGCGGCGGGCCCTGATCGGCTGGGCAACAGTTGGTACAAGGAACATGAAGACCTACTGATCCCAGTCCTTACCCATCTATTCAATGTGTGGTATGACAGAGGGTACTTCCCTCCCTCATTCCTCGAAGCGGACATATTCTGTCTAAAAAAAGGAGGCATTCACAGCAACGCCCTCAACTATAGACCTATTGTCCTCCTCAACACTGATTACAAGCTCTTCATGAGGATCCTGGCCAACAGAGTGCGTGGCACCTTGCCCGATTTGATACACCCAAATCAAAATGGTTTCGTCCCTGGGCGGGAAATTCACGATACATTGGACCTGTACGACGCGGCACAAGAGATGACACTCCGAGACCCGACCAACAAGAAAGCTACTGCACTCCTATTGGATTTCAAAAAAGCCTATGACTCCTTGGATAGAAATTATATGATTGCGGTACTTAGACGATTGGGATACCCGGAGAAGTTTATCAGAGCGATAATTTTCCTACACGCTGGTACAGTAGTTCGATTCCTGGCGAATGGGTCAAAATCAAGACTAATACAAGTAACGAGCGGCATCAGACAGGGCTGTCCATTGGCCCCCATGTTAATCATTCTGGCTTTGGATCCGCTCTACCGAAGACTGGACGGGTTTCTAGGGACTAAAGGGATCATTGTACAATCAGCAGCTGGACGCTTTGAGCTACGTGTAGCAGGATACGCGGATGACACTGCGACTTTTGTCAAAAATCCAGCGGACATATCTCACCTCATGAACGAGCTCGCCACATTCAGCAAAGGTTCAGGGCTCCATATTAATGCAGGGAAAACCAAGGTTATCGCCCTCCACTCAGAGGGACCGACCCAGGACATGCACCTATCTGGAGAACTACAATACCTGCCGAAGGAAGCCAAGTGCAGGTATCTGGGAATTCAAGAAGGGAGCAGCGCCGATACAGACCGGTCACGGGACGTAGCACGACAGCAACTTAAAGTCCGACTAACTTTAGCAAGTCAAAAGATCACTACGGTAGACCAACGCAGCACTATCGCTACAGCTATTATCGTGCCAAAACTACTGTACATCGCAAGACACGCGTGGCCAAGCAAAGTGGTCATCCAAGACATGACCAAAATGATCAAGAATTACGTATGGTATAGAATTTTCACGACGGATCTAACTGGAGGAAGGGCATGGCTCGATGCAGACCTTGCGGCACTACCCAGCGTGGATGGAGGTATGGCGATACCCGACCTCCGGACGGAGCTGCTTGCAATGGCCGCGGTAACAGTAGGCAAATGGGCGGAGACCGGTACTACACACGCCCACATTGTGGGCGATATACTCTTCAACAAGGGCATAGAGGGCACAGCACCGACTGTGTATATAACACCAGGCCACGAAGCTTATAGGCAGGGCAACACCCGGTTAATGACAACACTCTGGCAGACTGGCAGGAACATCATTCGCCTGGCAGGCGCACCTGATCATATTCCGGGACTGACCGCATCCAGGAAACACAGTACCCATACGATGTACGATCGACTGCACCGATCGACTCAATGGCACGGAGAAATCCTCACTATTTACTGCACTGCTTACCTGGAGACGCTCTCACAGGAACATTCATTCGCGCAGAAGCAGACCCAAGGACAACTGTACCATGAATGGCTGCCGTATGCGGCCATTGGAACGCTCCAAGTGTGGTCACAAGCTGGGGAGCTATTAACTTTGCAGAATGCATGCAAATTGACAGACAATGGGAACATCACGGTTAAAAACTTGACGAACTGGAGTAGAGTAAGAGTAGGAGTGGCTTCCTTCCACTTCGCCTCACGGCCAACGACTAATATCAAGAGGCAGCGAGCGGAACTGCAGGTTACCACAATAGTGGCGAACTACCCGCACACTGTCATGAAACCCCAGTACGCAGCGGAAGTACGTCTTACGGCACACCCCAACGATCACCCAGTTACTGTGACGCTACAGCGAAGGCCGATGATCGAAGCGGTCATTCACACTGGTTCGTATGGCCCGTACCACAGTGTGCAGGTAGACAGTCACGCCGCACTTCTTAGACATCTCACAGCAATCGCAGAAGAAAATTTCAGGATCCTAGCGGTGAGACCGCACCCGATTCTGAACAGACTCGTATGTCTGTGGGCAGGGGGTCGGCGGTGGACTCGCACAAGGAAGCACTACAAAACACGAAATTCCCAGCCGGCCCACCGCAGAGGAGTAGTCAATAAAGAGAAAAGAGCAGCCAAATGGGTGGACACGAGCACAGCAGCCGCTGCAGGACTCGCAGCTTTACCCTGGAAGAGTATTCGCAGAATCATTGGACTGGGACCTTGGGGGGAGCAATCCCTGCTGCGACTCAAATGGGGAGCCTTCTCCATGTACGACGTCAGCCAGAACAAAGCCGGCTGCCCACACAAGCCCTACGCACACATCGTCGACACGGACATATACCACGTATACTGGGGTTGCCCAGCAGCGATGAAACTGAGACGGGTACTCCTGACGCCATGGAGGGGATTAGACATGAGCGAAGAGGAAGTCGAAAGTAGCATCTTTGGGCTAAAGCTAAGTCGGGTACCGGAAGGTATATGGAAGGTTGCAGAACAACTACATGAGCCGACGACAACGACTTCGGTCGCCTTCGTCGAAAGAGTTGAGGGACTTACAGACAACTGCTGGAGACTTGGAGCAGCAACGTATTTCCATGCAGTATGGAGATGGAGAGTTGAGCACTTTGACAAAAACAACAATGTGACAGACGGGCACCACACAACGGCCTTGCAGTCAAGACTACTCCATGGGTACGAAACGGTGCGGGCCCACATGTATAGCACGTCGACTCGCGACTTGAGCAATAAGGCAAACGCTGTACTGAGGACTCCACTATTGAAAAGTGAGCCAGTGACCAAACAGCCTGAACCACCACACAGTGCAGCGGTGTATCTCCTCTTTTTCGACGGGGGATCCCGCGGCAATCCGGGTCCAGGCGGGAGCGGATCTATAGTTATTCGGGTTCAATATACCTCACCAAAAACAAACAAAACTGTAAGAAGTATTAGTACTATTGTTAGCTCTCTAACCTACTCTGTGCCCACTGTAGACTGATAAGTGCTACGACCGAGCGAAAAACACACCACATTAGTTTTACGGTCAAAGGGTAGTGCTACAAGACACGCTAGATGCAGCAATGTGTAGGAGCTGCCTGCGATGATATGACACGTACTTAACGTTGTTCATGTCGAGGTTGCTACGAGGTAAATAAATCATACCCGCGCCAGACGCGATTGTGAATGGGCTCAAAATGGGCCGGGGGGGGTCTCCTCTATTCAGCCGTGTGCGCTAGAATCTGGGGCGACCAAAATTATGGAAACTACGGTCAATCGTCTTAGCGACATCACTTTCTCCTTAACTTGAATTTGTAAAGCCAAAAACAATGGTGACCATCTGGCATTTTTTCACTGTATCTCAACCATCTTGTCAGTCGAGATTTGATTGTTTACTTGATACTACCAAGTAAACAATCAAATACTGCTATCAAGTTGATAGCAGTATTCCATGTACTCTGTACAGGTCTCCCTTGTCGAACTGCATTTGAGGTGGGAACACGTACAGTTCATGCACTCGATGGAATAGGTCGGGATGGGAATTTTCAAGCAACGGGTGAAAATAGCTTTTGAGTTGAGGTAGCAAAAGATGAAACCAACGTAGGAGACCACAGGAGCGAGCGGCCGTAGTTAGTTTCAGAATTTCCTAATCGCGCTTAAGCCCTCTTTCTTCCGCCCTTCAGCCTCCAGCACTCCGGAGAATGGTTCGCCTTGCAGCTCGATCCTACCTGCATTTGATGCCTGAAACCATTGAAACAGGTTTTGACGCACCATTCTACGCGAAGGTCGTTCGAGTCGAGGCAGATACAGTAACCTTTCATAGTCTCGAAGGGGGGGAGAAGGAAGTGTAAGTCGGGCAGTTGCGGAAACACACGTGGTGACGGCCAGCGAGGTGAACAGGGCAAGAAATCATTCACTCGTCCGACGTGCAGTTACTGTAAAGGGCTCTGATCATGTTTACTACGGTCAAGTGGTAGAAGCTGAAGGCGATCAGCTGTCGATTCTATCCGACGGACAGCAGTTCACCGCTGAATGGAAGGCAGTGTCGGTCGTAGCACCGATTATAGCCCTTCTATTGGAACATATTCAATTTGACAGAGATGAATGGAGCGCGCGCGAAATCGAGGCTGTCGAAAACACTGTTCTAGACCGAGTACTCGGACGAGATATCGTGGGCTCTAACCAGATACCGGCTATATTAGAAGGCTTAATGGCAGAAGCTAACTATCCCAGTGCAACGAAGGTCTGTAAGTGGACCGACCCTTCAACGGGTCAACAGACCGAGTTTGCGCTGCAACACGCCCTTGACTTTGCGTATTATGTCGATGGAGGAGTGACACCGGTGCCACCAGCTGTGGGGCAGGCGTTTTGCTGCCCGCCTCAGTCACAATCACCGATTGGTGGTGGTGATGGCGAGGAAAGAGAAGGAAGTGAGCTTTTCGATCCTTTTATCGACGACGATGATACTCCCCAAGACCAATCGGAGCCGATTCGTGAGGGTACGGTTCAAGTCACTACGCGGCCAGAACGACCAAAGCGTTCCCGACAGCCGGTTAGCCCGTCGGATAATGGTGTTCATGAGGCAAAGCGACGTCGCACAGCGGTAGACCAAGATGCACTCATTGTCGAGAAATTCAGCGATGACCCGGAGCTACTGGAGCGGTTTCTAGTTATTAGACAAGCCAACCGACAGTCTCAAATGGTTCCGAGGACTCAAGTGAGCACGAGTTCTGAGATGATTGGGCAGCCGCCTCCGCGGAAAAGAGTGACCGTAGCATCAAAGTACGCATTTGCTCCACGAGATGATCAACAGGAGGTACATGAGCGAGTGACATCAGAAAATCATAAAGGTAAGCCTGCTACTATATTTGTCAAAAGTATGGCTCGGTCCAAATTTGTGAAGTTTAAGGCGCTACCGGTTGTCTGCACTCGGGCATATGATATTCAATTCGGTTCTGGTGGGTTGTCAATTCGTCACTTCGCCCGACTGTCAGAGGACGAGAGGATGTCGTGGCTAGAAAGTGGAGGATCAAACTTTGGCAACCTGTCGGCGACGGCAGAGCTCGCTGCAGCTACTCCTGCTTCGCGCATAGAGGATGTGGTAGAAGCAGCAAGAGTGTTCCTCACGTATTGCCGAGAATACTGCTGCTCAGATCTGATCGAACTGGTCGAACACATCGTTGAGTTCATAGAAGAAACACTCATGAGAGTTAGCTGGAGTCAAAAAGAGCTGTCGACACTTGTTTACTGGGTAAACGATGTTTTAGAGGACTTTAGAAGTGTTGCAGAAAGCGATGGTGACTTAAGGCAAGTGATGAGACGCTGCTCAACGGATGATAGGCTTCTGAGGGATCTGATGTTCGTGAAAGTACATCAACACGTCAGCGAGATCAAGAACGAGAGATTAACGGATGAAGCTCGAACAGGGGGGACGAAGCGCGCACCAAATTACCAGTTTACTCCTCGGCAGGGCGGAAAAAGACGTCTCGGTCGGATATCGAGGGGCGTGCTGCGCCAACTTCCAGTACAAATCGAGCCAGGCTCGGGTAAGGCTAAGAGTCTGTGTATGCGTTACCTTTCAAAGGCAGGCTGTGCACCCGACGCAAATGGCGCGTGCTCCAGTGATCATGGTTATTTTGGTTCAAATAAACTGCCGGCCTGCGTGAAAGAAGAGATCACTAGATGATTTGGTGGCTTGAAGGAGGAGCACCGACAATTATGACTATCCAAGATCAGCGGGGCAGTACGGCCATCTTTGCAGCTCAAGTTCGTGGCAGCGGCCCGAAATCGACCTGAGAAGCAGCAGAAATCGGTATGCTCACGCCTTAACTCGGACGCTACCCAAGTGAATGGTGTGTTGAGTAACGACCGATTCACTGCGGTGGACGTGTCCCACAAGACTGCATCGGACAAGGTATTATCAAGTCTGCACCCAAAGAGGGCTGCTAGCGTCAACGCAGTATCAGAGAGCAAGCAATGCAAAATTGGTAAAAACGATGGTGTCAGCAAAGAGCAAGGGTGACAAAGTACGCTGTCTCAAGTAGCGGGTCATGGAGAATCCACTTTACCCCAGAACGAGATACTTAAGCGAGATAAAAGTACTAGTCACCAGAGGCCTTGTAGACATCCAACTATTGAAGCAAAGAGCACGACTGGCATGGTTTCCTGTCCCGAGAGATCGCTTTGTAAGGCCGGACAAGCAACACCGGTAGAGACGGCGAAAAAGGGTACAAGCGGTTGCCGGTCAAGACCTTGTTACAACGAAGTGTCATCAGTCCGTGGCATACAGCACCAAATGTCTCCACATATTAACGGTAGACAGTTTGGTCTATCGTTGATGTCGGCACAGAAAATCAAACACGCATTGGAGGAAGAATTACTCGCCGATGAAGCCCGAATATCAATTACACATCGTGGAATGAGATTTGTCCGCGCAAAGCAGCTCGAGATTTCGCCGTAAGAGATCGACAATATAGCGTGTAAGTCGCTGTCCCATTTGGTTCGCACACGCAACATGAGTGTCGAAGAAGCAACATAATTTATCCGTGGCGAACGCGACAATGACAGAAGGCCGAACAAAGCAATTGACCCAGAACGACTACGTCGCGTACTCAGAGATTATCCACATCTCGATGACCTAATTAAAATTGCAGAGGTCGGCATCGATGTACAGTGGCGTCAAGGACCGATGAAGAATCGTCCACCTCCTAAGAATCACGGTTCGTGTCGTCGTTATTTGCGCGCGGTGATCAGGTCAATTCGCGAAGGCCAAGACTCTGGTCAGTATATGGTTGTGGGGGCCGATATCCTCGACCGATGGCCTGAAATTATCTGCAGTCCTTTGGGGGCTGTGGTAAAGAAGGGTGTAGATCCGAACGAGGAAGCTCGCACTATTCATGACTTATCATTTCCGAAGAACGACTCGGTAAATTCCGCGTTGGTAGCGGATTCAATTCCAAAAGTGCGCTATGAGTCGGTCGCGATTATTGCAAGGCGAATTGAGTACTTGGCTACATGCGGTTGCACGGAGAGAATTATGATGCTTGAAGGCGATGTGAAGGGTGCTTTTCGGCATTTAAGTACCCGAGCTAACCAGGTTTTCCGTATGGCAGCCTTTATCAAGGAGCTAGAAATTATTATTATCGATCTGGCAGCTCCGTTTGGGTGGTCGGGGTCGCCGCCATGCTACGTGTTATTTGGCCGGGCAATATCATGGCTCATGGGCTCAAATTCACCTGCGTTAGTGTCAGATTCCAAGGCCAATGAACCATTTTTCCCTTACGAATGGGTTGACGATCATATTTTAGTGGAACCCGACGAAGGTGATAGGTTACAGTTAGCAGAAGCAACACTTCGTCACGCTATGTTAGCCGCTCTTGGACCTCGCTCAATCAATGAGGCAAAATTCTCAGCCTGGAGCTCTGAGATAGTGGCGCTCGGGTTATTGTGGAACACCGTGCGGCGTACGGTATCAATCCCTAGCGACAAAATATCTAAAGCACACCGACGCGTACAAGCGATACTCCAGCGAGGCACGGCTACGAAAACAGAAATTTACCAGGTCCTCGGGTCTCTTCGACACATAGCTACATGCTTGCGAACTGCTAAACCATTTTATCAACGGATTCAATCTCAATGCAACGCAGTGCCACGATTTGGCAAAACACGTCTGTCCGGTGGCACAACAACCAATTTGCGGTGGTTCGACCAAATCCTTATGCATGGCTGCCTAGCAGAGCTACTGCTGACGATATTCGGAAATATGGAGACGATTGCGCCTCACGTTGAGTTGTATATGGATGCGTCAAACGTCGGATTGGCCGTGCTTGATCCTGCGGCTAATGCATTTATTCAGATACAATTTGATGACAAAGAACTATTGATGATTGACGAGCTACACAAATCTGGATTTTCTATCAATGTCCGTGAGCATTTCTGTATTGCTCTTGCGTTATGGACTTGGGGTGCGAAATGGTGTCGGTAAGCCAAAGGGAAGCTTCTACTTATAAAATGTTGGAGTGACAATACCTCCGCTGTTGCGTGGTGCAACAAGCTGCATTCTCGGAACTCATTCAGCCAAGAAATTAATAGGTGCATTGGTCTGGCCGAAGTGTACTTTAATTTACGTGTATCCGCCGACCATATCCCAGGATCGACGAATTGGATGGCGGATGCAGCTTCACGAGCTTGGACCGAACCTCATTTAACCAGATGGACTAACTTTTCTTCTGGCTGGACACAGAGTACAGTGCCGCTGCAATGCAGAAGACTCTACATGAACTTCTCGAACAGCTTCAATCCTGCTCATGGCCGCGTCGTCGGCATCACAGTACAACAATACATGGCGACAATAGTGTAAACGGTGCAAGTTGCTTAACTTCCCGAGATGGCTACCCGAAAGCCCACGAAAACATTCCTACCAGCTCGCCTTATTCGCTATTCACTGCTGGAACTATGGATGGGGACACACAGGATCAGGGAATTCTGCCGGCACCCTACTCTCGAAAATTAGCCATATCTCGTGGCATCATCGACGGATGCTCGGTTTCAGCGTCGCACTCTTACCAGGCCACCAACTTGCAATCACTGGCATGCGGAGGAAGGACAAACCTCGTAACCCAAAATCTCCTGTCACAACCGATATTCTCAAGAAACTCCACGGGTTCCTTGATTTCAAGTCCGCCCAGCACCGAGTCATTTGGGGGGCTTCGGTGCTGGGTTTCTTCTTTTCTCTCAGAAGATCGGAGTATTTAGCCCAAGGAGCAAAAATGTTGCCGTATGCAATACAGCGGTCAGATATTTCATTTGTGGATTCCGACGAGAGACCGACTGATAATCTACACGAGGTGGTGGCAGTTGTGATTACATTCCGCGGAAGTAAGTCCGACCAGTTTGGCGATGGAAGCAGTCGTAGACTGGAGCGTTCAGGGTAATAATGGTGCTGTCCAGTTTTAGCAGCATGGAATCTTGTTCGGCATCACAAGTCACTCGGTGTTGCGGAAAATACTCTATTGTGCAAGATTAATGCGGCTACAAATCTGCAAGTCAAAGATGTCGTAAAGGCGCTCAAATGCGCTGCAATCCAGGCGGGTTACAATCCAGAAAATTTTGGGTCTCACTCACTGCGCAGTGGAGGTGCAACCGCACTCTTTAATGCTGGATTTGATAGTTTGGCGGTCAAGTTATTTGGAAGGTGGAAGTCTGACGCTGTGGAGCGTTATACCCGCATTGGGGGACGGCTAACATCGCGAATGGCGAAAGACATGATAAAGAAGCCTGCCTTGTAGCGAGCTTTGGGGCATCCTCCACGCCACACCCTGGCAGCGGAGGCGCAACAATACATGCTTCTTAATGTGTGCCAAGTTGGCACCCCCCCCCCGAATCGATGGCGACGACAACTGAAAGATGAATTCATTTCGAGTTTTATTGCAGTAGCATACAAGTGACCAAGCTTCAGCAATGTGGGTCATCTATCACGGGCGTATCTGCGTGGAAAATTAAGTCGTCAAGGGATTTTATTGTCGCTTCTTGGTCTCGAAGTCTTCGCGTTTTGGCTGCCGTGGTTCTTTGTTTCAATCGGTAGCCACTTTGAGTTGGAAGAGAAACCCGCGTCATCTGTAGTCAATGTTTTGCACTCGGATACGCCTACACCCACTACATTACACCACAACACACCCGTGACCAGTTCCTTACGTTTCAGCACAGTCCGAGCAAAGAGCTTGCACCCCAGCGCCAGTGCCATAAGTCCCGACAGTCCGGTGACCAGTGTATTGCATCCCGATACACCTGAGCAAACTCGTCTTAATACGCTCGTTCCATACACCTCGAAGACAACGACGAAATCGTACATTGAGTACGAGGCATCGTTCCCATAGCATGGCAAGATCGAGCCAGGACAGCATTATCGAGTTGAAAATACAGAGGTGCTTGTGCAACCTGGCAACAGAGACAACGACTCCGTATTGATCATCTGCGCGTTTAACGACGCTCAATCGTGGGGTGTAAATCGTAGCATCAAGAATTTCTTCGAGGTCGTCGCGTCGTTCATTTATCTGAAAGCAAAAATTTCGATCACGCTGCTTACTTCGTCTATGACCGAATTCACTAATGCGAAGCAGCTCTTTGGGTTCTACATCGAGCAGTATCCGAGGTTATCCGTCATTTTCCGCAATGATTTCTCTACCAAAAGGACTAACCCGTGCGAATCGCCACCAGCACTTACTTCAGGCAGGCCGTCGACGCATGCTCGCTCGATACCGAAACTACGCGTTGCTCTCTACGATGGATTCATGGCAGCAGCATGTTGTATGGGTGGATGCTGACATCACAGCTATCCCCTCGGGATTACTGCGGAAAATGGTGAGTTCCGGTCGCGATATCCTAGAGCCCATGTGCGTACGCAACATCAGAGGCAAGTGGCTCAACTACGATAAAAACGCGTGGGTCGGCCATCGAAAAGTACGATCACCGAACACTATAAACTTCGTGCCTGGTCCATCGAATGCCCGGTCCTTCCATAACCTTCCTGACAGATCCAAGCCATTTGTTCCGCTGGACTCTGTTGGCGGAACGATGCTGTACGTGCGCGCAGATATTCATCGACAAGGTGTGCTGTTTCCTGTTCACTACGTCATCGGTAGCGAGTGGGGACGGGAAGGGTATGATGGTATCGAAACAGAAGGCTTATGCTACACCGCGCATTTCCTGGGCTACAAGCGTTGGGGTATGCCTCTAGATATCATTCGTCATGTCACGTAGACGATATGATGTGCGAGACGGTTTGACTGTATTATCTAAGCAGATGTAAAGCATAAATCTGGGCTGATTACACAGCTACTAAAGAAAACAAATACACAATACCGACACGAGATTCAACGGAATGTCAACAGAACTCCAGCTCACATGTTCTTCTTATTACGAGCAGCCTAGAAAGACGAAATGAGATTCATCTTCCAAATTATATCAGCGCTGGCGGTCGTGACTGGCGGCGTTGCTGAATTACAAAATGGAGCTCAACTCGGTGAGACTTTCGGTGGCCCCCACGGCGATAATTACTCGGACGTGAATCCCATTTACGCCTGGACAAACTGTGACGTCCGTTACGATTCGCTCTTCGGATCGTGTGGACGCTATCTGCCTCAACGTGGTCGATCTCGCAGGACAGGAAACCGTTTTGCACCACGCGGTGACGGCGATGAAAGGAACACTATGACGCTAGGTAAGGACGAGCACATTACCGGCATTGAAACCCACTGGGACAAGTACTACCGCCACACACGTATCATGTACATCAAGTTTACCACTGACGCGGAACACACCATCTATGGTTGAACCCCGTCGGACCAGATCGGCAAGGACGATGCCCCAAAGAGCTAACCAGCTCGGCGGCTTCGCTGTCCATAGTGGTATTAATAACGAGGTTGACTTGGTGGGAGCCGTGTGGACCCGCCGCAACGGATTTGAGGAACACTTGCACTCCAAGATTGTCAGTTGAAGGGTTCGGTAGTAGTCGTCAGTGTTTTGCAATAGACTATAAGTAATACAGGCCATAACGGTATCCCGTTTAGTGGTACCCCGTGACCACCAAATAGTGATACAACATAGATTAATACATCGATGTGAGCTGAGCAAATTAATAATTCAATTATTTGCATTACTCCGGCCCATACTCGAGCGTACGCACTCATATCCCACAAGTCACGATTGTAGCTCAGAAACATTATCGTCTCGAGCCTGGCGGCCCCCACCCACCAGCATCATATTAATAGCAGGAGTGGGACTCGAACCCATTTGTAGTGGATCGGTAGGGTTGTTCCCAAACCACTTCATTGTTCTGACCAGCAATACTCGAAAATAATTGCAATACTTATTATTGGCTCCGACATTATTACAGTAACGTACTACTTTTTTCTGCGAAACCAGTTCATTGTTATATTCAGCACCCCAATGAACAAACGCAGTGTGGCACATCACTTGTGGTACGTGGTGTAAACACACTAATACTTCACAAGATGATGGGGGTATGTCAGGACAATGGGATTGTTTCCGGTGATATCTTCCCGACATCCTACACAGTTCCATCATCTTCGGAAAAGTTCAGATGAGAACCATGGGGAGGGTTTGGCAGGAACTCCCTACCTTGATGCTAGTACCACTGATTTTATCGAACTCTTTGCCACTGTCCGTGATCACTTTGAGCACCTTGTATTCGCTAAACTGGCGCTCAGCCCAAGCGATATAGCGTCCCATAGCCGTGTTCACCTCAGAGGTCGTCTTCGACGCTAGCGGATGTAGCGAGAGTAGCCATCTACTATAGTCAATACGCTCACTCTAACGTCCATTCCTTGCGTTTGCGAGTCTTTTTCACTGTTCAATTCTCCAAGCTAGAGTTACCAAGATGCCAGTTCAGAATACAGAACAACGAGTGTTTGCTGATTATCAACAATGCAAGCGTCCAAGGAGGCTACAACGTTGACACAATTACAAATGTCGAAGTTGCATTCCTACCGCAAAATACGACAAGTAAACGACAGCCTCTTCGCACTGGAATAGCTGCTGCGCTCAAGCAGCTTCACCAGCGTCGCCAAATCCAGCACGCTCTTGATTAGCGTGAAATCGACCCAACAATGGACATGTCGAAAGCGACCAAGTTTTACAAGGTTGACGTTCGCCAAACGGTGCTATGGAGCAGCGTTCTGGAAGCACATTGGTCTACTCGATTACTATGCTTCCAAATACAGTGAGCCAGAGGAGGAACACTCCGTAATCGACGATGTTACGCGCTCACAGATGCTTGTATACGTAAGTTATGAATCCGATGTAATGCACGCACGAATATCAGACTAACTACTTAGTATTCAGCTCTCTCGTCACTAACCCGTTTTTTTCTGCCAAAAGGAGACTGAGCTAACAAAATGTAAATATAACGTGAGAAATTTCAGTGGCCTACACTCACGGGACACTTGCCGGGTCTCTCCTGTGGGGGCTGCTTTAATGCGAGTGCTGCTTCAGCTTGCAACGCATACTGAATTCACAACAGACGAGCTAGCTGAAATGCTGTCACGCCTAAGGATAGATTGCAATGCTGCCTATTCGAGCAGATTCAACGGGCTTGTTGGATAGACGTGTACCGGGCTTAGAACGATACAGAGAGAGAGCTGTGAGACGAGCTAAGTAGGAAGGAAGAGTGCAAGCAGCAAGTGCCCTTGCTTGCCTACTTTGGACGTGCTACACAATAGTGACTTTTCCATAGTTAAGCACCTCAGAACAGTCACAGTCATTTTTCGTAATTTTGTAATGAGGGTTGTGAACTACAATACCGTACTTCAGTAGCCGACCTTGTTGGAGGGAATTTCATAAGCAGGAATTACTACTGAAGGTTTTATATGTACCCAACCACGGCGGTTCATTTGGTTATCCACATTTTTGTGCACATTTCTAACGATTAGAATTAGCAATTCAGATCACCCTTCCTCGATTGGACGCGGTGCTAACAAGAAGGCTATCAGGGATGGCCACATCAGAATAACCACGCCGCCGCTCAGTGTATTATAGGCGAGGAGCTTGAAATTGACCTTGGCAAAGTGCGTGGACCGGCTAACGAAGTTGCTAAGGGCCGCTATTTTGGCCAGGGGAACCCATCGAACGGTATTTGCTTCGAGAGCGTCAACGCATAGAAAAAAAACACGCAATGGAGCAGCAATAACTACAATGAAGCAGTCAGCGATTGACGTCCCAATAATGCATTCCTCTGCAGTCTCGCCCCCGAACTCCACGTCGAATGTGGTGAAGGTTCACGTGTCAAAGGACAGCATGAAGCTCAATGCAGCTCACTTCATCGCATACAAGGTAAGATACCAAGTACCTAGTCGAAATACTCGTGATGGAGCGCTTAGCCGATTGGATATTCTGTGGCAGGGATTCCGAGAGAAGCTGAATAGCCACATCTATCGTTTGGCTGTCACGATTGCAGGACATTTTGGCTTGGATGGATACAAAGTTGACCTTGGAGAAATAAGAGGACCTCGCGTGTAATCTGCGAGGACTAGAGCGAATCGCTTCTTGTATCCATGAACAGTGTTGCAAAGTGCTAGAACTAGCGATATTACTTTGATTGACATAAAGCTTTGGCTTAAATTTCATGTGACGGCATATATACCCGCATCGACATGGCGACATTTAGGTATCTTGATTTGTTTTTACTGAAAGAGTGTTGCATGATTGTCTTTTTTTACTGAGTCGTTGTTTTGATTCGCCAAAATGCAGTTTTTCTAAGACCGACTGCTCTTGCACACTTCAGCAGAGGAGCTCGCTACTCACATCGTAAGAACCCGCAACTTTGCTTGGGTTACGCTAGGTTTGTTTGACGTTCGTATATTTGTGCGGAGTAACCTGTTCGTGGACGCATTCACACTCGACGCGTTCCTGGTAAACAGTAATTTGTGGCGGAAATAATACTGCTCGAGTGCTGACGTCTTTAAATATATGCTTTTACAGAGGCGCAGCGTGTGGACGTTGGAGGTGGCACTTTCGGGGGCAGACGAGCAATTCGCTTCGTATGAAAGCGTCCTGCTCGCACAACGCGTCCTGCTCACACAAGCAGTGTACTCGTAGTATTAGCGCTGTAAGTTTGTTTAAACTAAATAAGATTAATGGCTAAAAAAACAATTAAGGCAATCGTTATTAATACCAGACCTCGATTTTTTCATCAAATGAACTCCTCACCTTTTTTCACTTTGCCAATTACAAAATTTCATCAAAGTCACCGATTAGAGCCGTGTTTTGTTGCCATAGCATCACCCTATCTGTGTCGTCGACACAAAACTTAATTAGTTCAATGTGCGACGAGGATAAGCACACCACATCATCTTGAGGGGCTCATTCGGTTGAAATTGCGGTGCCAGGAACGAACCTTTATGTTTAAGCAAGTAGCTACGTCTATTACGGTTAAACAGTTGTCTTCAATCAATGCGACAACTTGTCGAAGCCCATAACAATCGTTTCACGCAACCAAACTCTAATGTAAACAATTTTACCGTAATAAAAATACTGTGGGACAGGAGGCAGTTCTAAAGCACTAAATACGAGATTTAGTGCACATCCGTAGACAATACAATATCGCATGGTCGCAGAATGCGAGAAGACATGCAATATTATGTACCCGCTGCCGACTACCGCGGCGACTTTATCTGACTGTAAATTCTTAAACTTTTCGTTGGTGCTCGATTAGCTACGAGGTAAGGAGGCGTTTGCTTAGAATACTTCCTCATTCGTGATTTCGACAGCGACTTGGAGAGGGCTAACGCCAGGTGCAATGAAGATATCCAGGTTGTTGTGCTCGTCTTCAGGTGGAGACACAGAAGAATCCATGCTGACCCCTGCGTCGCCAGAAGATCAAGGTTCGAGCTCTTCTCAAGTACCATCTGAAGCCACGATAAAGTTTGTGTTAGTTCCAGACAATGAGCGCGTACGGTCTCACCCACTCAGTGTTACCCAACGACGACGACGTCAAGAGTACCAAGCATATGAATCGCGTGTGTACAATCTCACGCTGGATATCAATGAGCTTCGACAACAGATACAGCAGCTGAAGGAACGCCGAGACCTCTACGTCACGCGTATGATTTATAGTGGTGAGCGATTCAAAGGTGACGTGCTCAAATTAGTCTGGAATCTCCTGGATGGACTTCTAAGTGGGGCCATTGGCTTGACTCCAAGTGGGCAGGGTTTCTTTGCACCTCGCATCCACCTTAATCAAGATAGCCCAGAGGCTAGTGGCGGTGTCTACGAATACGTAGTGCAAGAGGGTCGTTGCCCGCTCACCAACCGATCCATCACCATTACATCTATTGATATCTTGGCAATGGTAAACAACACTACACAGGGTGATGCTGCACGTGAGATCCGGCGTATTTGTGGCATCGATGGCGGTTGTGTGGTAGAGGTTCTCGCCGGCCTTTCTGGACAAGTTACCCAAGACACGCTTATTGCTCTGTTTCCGCACGTGATAGGCGATGAAGTACTCACGTCACGCATGATCGGCCGGCAGATCAAGTTTTCGTCTCGCCTACTACTCTACTTTAGTAATCAGCGAAGATTGATGAAGCAGGTTGCCCAGGCGGATTTGGTCGCAGCTCTGAACACGCTACATCTAGATGACGCAGGTGGTGTTGGTGCTTACGCGGACTAGGATAACTGCGGCGAAGAGGAGCTGGAACTATCCCAGTTTACAAGCTGTTGCACGTTTCTTAAGCTTGCATTTAATACTTTCATTATTAATTGTCATGTCGTCATCCGAGATTTAAGGGCGGATATTTAGGTTGATCTTGTTGCTACTGGCTTGTTGAATATTTGGGGCTGACTCTGTCTCAGACACCATTACGAAATTATGCTTTGCGAATACATTCATTTCCGTTATTTCTTGCCGTTGCTGTAAGGCGCCAGTTATTACGGTTGTGATGGTCCTGTTGCACCCTGTGGATCTTCTTGCTACTTCGCAAGCTGACAAACTTATGTTGTTTAATCGCAACTAGGGCGCCCCCCCCACTCACTCAAGCGTAGATCCTTCTCGATCATCTTCTGCGTTGTGGTGGATTCGATAGGATGGCTACTACGCTTACGAGCGGGAAATGTCAAGTTGAATTCAGCACCAGTTCAGTAATCAGCGATTACTTCCGCATATCGGAATATCATCGAGGATCGAGAGAGAAGATCGAGTAGATTGGATCACCTATTAGTTATCGATGAAAACGTTGGTTTTCGACTATGTACTGTGCAAGGAGATCAATAGGTGGTTGCAGACTCGTTAGGAGCAAAATGCGTCTGACTCTTCCAACTATTTACTTGCTTTAAAAAGACAGCAAACATTCTGGCATTATCCATAAATGCGACCGGTTTGTGATAAGCATAAACCTGGGCTGATTACACTGTTACTGAAGAGAACGAAGTAGTACCGATACGAGATAACTGCTGAATGTCTATAGAACTTGAGCTCACAGCTTTTTTCCCTGATTATGAGGAACCTCAATAGGAATGAAGTTCATATTCCATGTTTTATCAGCGCTGGTGCTCGTGACCGGCGGTGCTCCTGAGTTGCAAAACGGGTTTCAACTCGGTGAGGCTTTCGGTGGGTCCCATGGCGACAAGTACTCAAACGTGAGTCTCGTTACGCCTGGACAAACTGTGACGTCCATTACAATTCGATCTTCTGATCGTGCGGACGCCATCTGCCTCCACGTGGTTGATACGTCGGGACAAGAAGCCACTTTGCACCACGGAGGTGACGGCGGCGACAAGAACACATTGACGCTAGGTAAGGACGAGCACATCACCGGCATTGAAGCTCACTGGAGCAAGTACTTCCGCCTCACACGTATCATGTTCATCAAGTTTACCACGGACGCGAAACACACCATCTATGGTGGAGCGACCAAATCGGCAAGGACGATGCCCCTGAGAGCTACCAGCTCGTTGGCTTCGTTGGCTATAGTGGTAGCAAGGTTGACTCGCGTGGACCAGCATTCATCCTCCGCAACGGAATTGAGGCACTCTTTCACTCCGAGATAGTCAAAGAAAGGGTTCGGTAGTAGTCATCAGTATTTTGTCATAAACTATTAGCATTACAGGCCATCATGATATCCGGTTCCACCAAATAGTGGGGCAGCTTGCCTTCAAATGTCCAGCTTTTCCACACTCATTAAATCTAGAAATATCGCTATTTCGAACTGTGCACAATGGCCGTTTGGACCAGGTCTGTTTTGCAATGGCATTTGCTATTTGAGTCTTCGCTTCTTATTACGCTCGTCCCTGAAAGCTGTTTATATTACACTAAGTTCAGGATGGCACTTGACGGAATTTCCATTACCGGTACATCCACATGGATAAACTTCAGAGTTACCCGTGTGTACTGCTGTAATGCAATAATACAACAGTGTTGCATATTTGAAAAGAAGTACGGTGCTCTCTCCGCTAAATTTCCACGCTTAATATTCTCGGTTAACGTTTGCTGGAGATGCTTTAATACATGTAATCTTAGTAGTAATAGTGATACTGAGATTACCTTTGGCCAAACTACTATTATAATAGAAATGCATATTTTTAAGTTTCGAAATGATTTATATTACAGATTTAAAAAATAGACCGACTGGCAACAGACACAGACAACTTTTGTTTAGTTGATCAATTCACAGCTCGAAAAACTGTGTTAAGCAGCCCCCTAAAAGCTGACATTCTGCAACGTAATGCCAGGCGTCTAGCTTGGATGGAAATACTGCTTAACGTCGTTGGATACCTACAATATGGTACCGACATACTGGAATTTCTAAAATGCAGGAAAATAAACCAGTATCCAGGATACCCTCCCCAGTTGGAGAAGGTAAAAGATCCGCACCACTGAAGTAATACTGGACGCAAAAGAGATTCCCGAGTTGGCGAATTAAAGCTTTTGCGGTGTACGTACTTTTTTCTGAAGCACTACCAGGATAACTGAATATCCCTTTAAATAATCGCTCCTGATCAGAATACCTTTAAACGTTCTTGAAACAGCTTTTGCTAATTAAAATCTTATATCCATAACAACACATCATCGACGGAGACCTATGACCCCCATATGGTAGAACTTTTACAGGGTGTTTGTAGCAACCCATGCTTTTGCGTTATTTAAACACCTACTAATCATTTTTTTTTGGAAATGTAATACCCTAAATTTAATTTCCTATGTACTACGTTCGATATCGGACGGGCGTTCTCATAAAATGGAAATAACTGCTAAGGGAAAATGCCAATTAGGGGCCGGTGACCAGTTAAGGGCCGGATTCGGTTAGCCAATAGGCAATTCGGAATTTCAGGCTTATCTATTTTCATTGGCCACTACTAAGGTATCATATAAGAGATTACTTAGCAACCCATAGTGAAATCAAGCGGCCCTTAATTGGCATGGCCGTCACACTTTATGCACTGTTTTAATTTGTCCTACGGAACGCACCATAGATGATGTAAAACAATTCAATAGCCAGGGAAATATACAATTGTGTCAGCTTTTGATTGATGCCAAGGCCATATTTTGCTTTTTACTAGATCAAAAGATACAATCAAAACAAGAGAAGGTTGCTTTGAACGGCCCTTAATTGGCATTTTCCCTTAGTGACTACAACATGAAAATATCGTCTACGTGACATGACGAATGATATCTGGAGGCATACCCCAACACTTGTAGCCCAGAAAATGCGCGGTGTAGCATAAGCCTTCTGTTTCGATACCATCATATCCTTCCCGCCCCCACTCGCTACCGATGACGTAGTGAACAGGAAACATCACACCTTGTCGATGAATATCTGCGCGCACGTACAGCATCGTTCCGCCAACAGAGTCCAGCGGAACAAATGGCTTGGATCTGTCAGGAAGGTTGTGGAAGGACCGGGCATTCAATGGACCAGGCACGAAGTTTATGGCGTTCGGTGATCGTACTTTTCGATGGTCGACCCGCGCGTTTTTATCGTAGTTGAGCCACTTGCCTCTGATGTTGCGTACGCACATGGGCTCTAAGATATCGCGACCGGAGCTCACCATTTTCCGCAGTAATCCCGAGGGGATAGCTGTGATGTCAGCATCCACCCATACAACATGCTGGTGCCATAACTCCATCGTAGAGAGCAACGCGTAGTTTCGATATCGAGCGAGCATGCGTCGACGGCCTGCCTGAAGTAAGTGCTGGTGGCGATTCGCACGGGTCAGTCCTTTTGTAGAGAAATCATTGCGAAAAATGACGGATAACCTCGGATACAGCTCGATGTAGAACCCAAAGAGCTGCTTCGCATTAGTGAATTCGGTCATAGACGAAGTAAGCAGCGTGATCGAAATTTTTGCTTTCAGATAATCGAAGGACCCGACGACCTCGAAGAAATGCTTGATGCTACGATTTACACCCCACGATTGAGCGTCGTTAAACGCGCAGATGATCAATACGGAATCGTTGTCTCTATTGCCAGGTTGCACAAGCACCTCTGTCTTTTCAACTCGATAATGCAGTCCTGGCTCGATCTTGCCATGCTGTGGGAACGATGCCTCGTACTCAATGTACGATTTCGTCGTCGTCTTCGAGGTGTATGGAACGAGCGTATTAAGACGAGTTTGCTTAGGTGTATCGGGATGCAATACACTGGTCACCGGACTGTCGGGACTTATGGTACTGGCCACAGGTGCGCTGGGGTGCAAGCTCTTAGCTGGAGCTGTGGTGGAACGTAAGGAACTGGTCATGGGTGTGTTGTGGTGTAATGTAGTGGGTGTAGGCGTATCCGAGTGCAAAACATTGGCTACAGATGACGCGGGTTTCGCTTCCAGCTCAAAGTGGCGACCGATTGGAATAACGAACCACGGCAGCCAAAACGCGAAGTTTTCAACGTCAGTACTAGCTGTAATTGAGCGTTAGAAACATATTGAGCATGGCATGGGGTTCAAACAGCAATGTATTGGAGCAGCAAGTGCGTTGTAGCGTCGGCATGTGAATCGCGCTCATGGAGCGTGTGCCCCAAGAGTTCACTGCCGCGGTACAGCTTGCTGCACCGTGCTAGAGACCCCGAATGCCATTTGGGCGGCAAGGTGTCGTCCCGACTCGTTTGTGTACGACGTATATCGCTGGTATGAGTCGGTCTTCCACCTTCCGTGTAACATGACTGCGGTGCTGTCGACGCCCGCTGAAAGCAGGGCTGTTGCACCTCCGCGTCGTAGCGAATGACAGGAGAAAAGCGTGGCATCTTCCCCCGTTGCTTTGGCTGCAGCTTGCAGCACTTTGGACATTGTTTCGGCGGGCACCATTGACGACGCCTTGATTGAGCAGATTGGGTCCTCGGGCCGTAATTGCAGGTTTCTTGCGTTCTCCATTAGCAGTCGTCCTGCAAGAACTGGACACAGAGCTCGATGACCTGAACGAGATAGCACTCGTTTTGTTCCATGACCTTGTTGGTCATTCGTCTGCCCTCGCAATGTGATTTCCACGGCTACTGCTGTGTGCAGACTTAATGTTTGGAGTCCAAGCTCATCTTGGAGGATCACATCGCGAACTTGCAGGGTGTATATACGTCTTCGGCCCTTGACAGCTAGGTTTTCCGCGCTCCGGAGTAGAAAAAAGAAGCCCAGTATCGCAGCCCCTGCGAGAACGCGGTGCTGGGGTTGTTTGAAGTCCAGGTGTCGGATGATCCACTCGAGCATTTGCCGCGTGACGGTACCTCGTCGCCTCGTTGCTGGGCCTGTTCGTCGCATTCCAGCAATGGCGAGGGCGTGGTTCGGTCGTAGTTGAGGGTCGAATCCGGCAAATGTTCGATGATACCAGCGGATGTGGCACAGTTTAGATTGAATGGTGCTGGCCGAGGCTCTGCCGTGTTGATTTCCTCCGGACCAGCAGTGAATGGCGAAGACAACCAGTAGTAGTGATTGTGTTTCCGGGTCTCGCTGCGGGAGCCACCTTGACACTCCGAGGTGCGCACAGAACGTTCTCCACTGCTGCCAGGTTCCTTTGTATTGGCGTTGAGAGGATTCAGCGATGGAGCGCTGTTGAAGGCGGACCATTTCGCTGAGTAGATCTTGCGTATAGCGTTGGAGATTGGTATCTGCGTCCAAGTTTTGGTTAGCAATCGCCATTCTGTTAGTCGGTGTTTCCCATGCACGAGAGCCCAAGTCTGCCATCGTGTTTACTGCGCCAGGTAAATGCTCGGCGGACACATGCAGCCCCCACTGTGCTTCAATCGCTCCCAACACTCGATTCAGTTCTTGTGCCAGAGGTTCGCGACTATTGAGACTGTTGCACCAAGCTACTGCGGAGCGATTATCGATCCAGCTGCGTACGTGTATCACCTCGGGGGTAACGCGAGGACACCACTCGCGGCCCCAGCATAGTAGTGCAAGTACAGCACCGAGTTGCTCGCGGATATTTATCGACAGTCTTCCTTGTCGGATAAGAAGGCGTTCTTCGGCGTCGAACTGAAGGCGAATATACTCGCATTTTGCTGGATGGAGAGCACAGAGGCCAGAGTCGCTGGCATTCATGTAAAGATAAACGTCCGGTACAGGGAGATCTCCAAAGAACTTAAGGGGAACACTGCGAAGCCGGCCATGTTGTAGAATGTGTTGAAACCACTGCAGATCGAGAGTAGCACCTTCAGATATGGTGATCTTGCCCCAGCGAGGAGCTCGCCTATGGAGAGATGCAATGCGTTGGAACAACGGTTTTGCTGATCGGATACACGAACACACGTGGCGTAGGGATCCCAATAGTTTGCACAGTTGTGTCCGCGTCGCCGACTTGCACTGCAGCATCGCTTGCACGCGAAGGAGTGCTTTCGCGATCTTCTCTTCGGGCATCGACACGCAGCGTAGCTCGGTGTCCCAGTCCAGCCCCAGAGCCCGCAATCGGGTAGACCATCTTGTAAATTTCTTCACATTGATGGAACGAGGACCAAGAACAGCTAGCATGGCGAGGCGTAGTGCTGCCTCGCATAATTCCAGTCGGTCTCCTCGGTCTTCTTCCGCTAAGACATGGTCATCAACCCAAGTATAGCAATAGAATGGCTCGCAGTCCGTGTTGCTAGGGTCGAGACTAGCCGGGCTCTCGTTGTGAACGAGGTGTGTTATTGCAGATCCGAATACGCCATAGTGCGCTGGGGACCCCATCCAGCCAAACGGTAGTGCCAGGTCAATTACCACCGCTCTTTCATCCGGTAGAGCACCTGCAAATCTGCCGCACACTTCGGAGCTGCCATGAACATTTCGAAAGGCCGATTTGACGTCGCCGCGTTTGAGTTTTACTCGACAAAAGGATCGTCGGTCCTTGAGCTCTTCTATCCTCCGTGCGAGCTGGTGTACGTGTTCGTACTGTAATTCTGGTAGAATACCTGGATCTGACGAGCTGTTGATCGAGTTACCAGACGGGTAGGAGAGGTCGTGAATGACTCTCGCTTCGACGTTAGGGTCTGCATCAGCTCTCGGGACACATCCAAATGGGCTAATGTGGACGTCTTGCCATGGCGCAGCGGCATCAGCGTCCACTACTAAGTACGTTCCCGCGTCTTGACCTTCGCGGACACTTCGTTTGAGCGCATTGCTCCACGTCCGAGCGGACTTATGATTTGAAGTGAGATTGCCCTTGTTGGGCTGCTGTACTGGCCGAAAGTGATGCGTGACCCCCTGTTGAATCATGCTCAGGAGTAGCGGTAGCTGGGGAAAGCCGTGGAGTAGCCACGAAAGATGTTCACTTCGAAGCGCTTTGTTCGGCCGCGGGTCCTCATCACTTTGACCTCTCCAAAATCGAATTGTGTCGCTCAGAGAAAGTCGTAGTTTGCGCACCACTTTGGAGATCCCGGATTGAAGGGGGGCATCGATGAGGAAGTTTGGCTGCGTTTGAGCTGTCCTTGGTGATATCAGGGACGTGGGAAGCGGGACGCCAGCTTTCCGAAACGCAGAAGCTCTGTGTGCCAGAAGCTTTACTTCGTCCTCATGTACGTTTGACTCAAGACGCTTTTGGACTTCTGTAACCACAGGGATACTTATTTTGAATGCAGGTGTCCGGGTACACCGCATTTTTCAGACACGACTGCTCATTTCGGAGCTGAGACCGCCATATTTATCCAACACGTACTCTTGTACAACCGGTGCAAGAGTATCTGGGGTGAAGTGGCCCAGAAAGTCGTATGTGCAGCGGTCTGACACCTTCGAAGGACAGCCTTTTGCAGATATATACCGAAGGCACAGCTGCTTGCCGTTCAGGCGAGGAGCTCCCTGGTTCACTGCAATCGGGACTTGGCGGCTCGTAACCTGGCGATTGTTTCCACGATTGCTTCGGTACGGGGGTCGGTCTGATGTTTCTAGCTGCGGCTCGTGAAGTTTTCGCTTGCCGTGCCTCGCGACTTCATCTCGTCCTCTCGATAGTTTCAATAGCATTCCACTCAACTCTGAGTCTTGCATGCAGAACCGACGGGGCAATTCTGAGCGCGTGGACGTGCCATGACTGATGTCAAATTCCGTAGCACGACGGTGTGCCTCCAACACGTTGCTGAACCAGAACGCGACGGCCTTCACTTCTTCAGGTGACCATGGGGCGTAGTCGTTCAGCTCTTCGGAGAAGGCTTTTGCTGTCGTAATAAGACGTCGAGTTGGAGCATCGAAGAATTCCTCTGCATACGTTCCGAGAATACTCAGTGAATCGCACAAACTATCGTGACTTGGGTTTACTGGAAGACTGGGCAGCGACACTTTCACCGAGAAATTGCTGAGATTGACCGCGTTCGATCTTGCGTGATCGAGCTTAGCATTTAAGTTGAAACGGCGGAGGTGAAGGATGGACAATCCACATACACCAAAATCAAAGTCGTACAGTCGACTGAGCACCGCTGGGTGAGGCAGGAACTTCGTAGCATGGGACGACCTGACGTGTTCAACAAATAGTGCGGGGGACTTACCTCTGTGTTCAACAGCAGTGATCGCGTCGTGCACTGCTTGTTGGCCTTGGGACGGCCGAAAATTGTGACGGCGATCGCCGCCGTCCTCGTAGCGCGGCGTCGTTAGTACCGAGTCCGAGATGGCTTGTACTCGTGGTCGCTTACGTTCGGGGCCAAGCTGCTGGAGTTGTGACGCGTATGTTTCCGGGAGATCCGGGTAGTTTGCAAGCACCGACATGATGCGCACCGGGGCTGACGCAGCACCGCAGTCTCTTGGTGTCACGTCTGGTGACACTTGCCGTAGGCTGTCATTTTCAGTGGCATTACCGTAATCCACACCTTCCTCGTGCTCGTGTCGATTAGTGCCAGGGATTGAGAGGTCCGCTGCCTGGTCCAGTGTGTCCAGTAGGTTTGCCAGAGGGACTTGGTCGATCGTGCCGCTATTCGTGCGGGCACGTGAGGTGATTTCCTGACGTTCGTCACCTTCGGTTGGAGAGCTCGCCGGGTCAGCGCAGAAGGTTTCACCAAGTCGAACCGAAGCAGGAAGAGCTTTCCCTCCATCACGGTAGTACCCATAGTTAATCACATGCTCTATAGAGCACGTCACGCCCGATCCTGTGCGAGGGCACCTCCAGAGAATTTTGTCTGATAACCGAGGCAGTGTTGCTGTTTGGACGATTCCATTCAATAAGTAGCGAATCGAGCGAGAAGCAGTTGTTCCATTTTGCCCGAGGAGGCGGTCGAGAATCAGCGCATGCGCGCTGCTGATGTCCGCTTGTGCGCGCCGCGTGAGTTTCGCCTTGTATAGCAAAATTGCAATGACGGGGGCAATCTCCTCTACTGTGCTTGCTGGGACGGAGGTGACTCCGGATGCCGAGCGTACCGTCACCTCCGATCCCTTGTACTCATTCACTTGACCGTGAGTTGTTCCACCTGCTCCTTAAAGTACCACCGCCCGCCAAAGGAGATTGCCTGCACCACCGGACGCCGGCTCCGACGCCCATACTAGACGCCGAAAGGCGGTCGATCGAGGTAGCCAGGTGTCCAGAGTTGGCTGCGCTTCCTCTTCTGAAGCTGCGAGAGTTCGTACGCGAACTTTTTCGGGCTCCGAGTCGTCACATATCTCGGCATAAGTTGGTGCCGCTAGTGAAGTCCGAGTGTCTTGAGGGACGTCCTCGGGGAAGAGTAGGATAAGTTGCGCAGGCATGGAATCCGTTCTGGGTAGAGCGATTGTTGGATGGTACTTCGCGTTGGTCTTGCAATTCGAAAGTGAGCAGCAGGTTTGTGTTGCTTTTCGTGACTGCCTCTGTGGCCATACTGGTAGTTGCTGTTGAAGTTGTTGTTGAACGGCAACTTGCTGATCCCAACTTCGTTCGCAGACGGCGG